GGGGGGGGGGGGAGGAGGAGAACCATGGGGAAGGCTGGCCTCGGCAGCAGCTCATTTCGAAGCGTCACCGTCAGCACACGGTGCAGTCAGTCCTCCTCACCCCACTCTACCTTACCCTCGCGGGTCGTGCTGCTGCTGCTCCTCCAAACGTTGGCAATCTCTTTCTCCAGAGAAAGCCCCGAGGCGGGGCACACCGTCCGTTCGGAGTGTTTGCGTGCGTGTGTGTATGTGTGTGTTCGTGTGTATGTGTGTGTGTGTGTGTGTGCGTGTGTGTGTGTGAATGTGCGTGCTCTCACCTGTGGCAGACAGAACAGCAGCGACAGTCCCCAGGCCGCGCCGACCATGGCCCTGGCCCGGCTGCTCGACCAGGAGCAGTAGGTGAGCGGGTGGCAGATGGCCCGGTAGCGGTCCAGCGCCGTGGCCGTGAGCACGTACGAGCTGAGGTACACGCCCAGCGGCTGGCCGAACTTGACCGCCTTGCACAGGAAGTTGCCGCCGTGGAAGCGGAACGTCACCTGAAATACACATTTTTGTTAGTATTTGTTTGAATGTATGCAAGTAAGTTGGCGGGTAACGAGACTAGGTTTTGAATTTGAATTTCTATTATCATATTTTTGAACTGAATAATGCTGTCAAAATATATTGTGCTGGGAGCAGTTTACTACAAACATCAGTAATGTGATAAAAAACGATGAGAGATATTGCGAGAGTTACTATGCTGACCTACTTTTTCTACTCCAGTTTACGAATCTTTTCCCGCCATAAATTCCACGACTTTTTAAAATGTGGTACGTTTGACGTTTTCTTCCTGTACCTTCCATGCGAGCTGAGGCAGGACGCTGAAGAAGGCGGTGACCATATCGGCCACGCTGAGGTGCAGGATGAAGTAGAACATGCGCGACAGCTTCCTGCGGCCGCCGCAGCGCCGCCGGGCGTACAGCGCCAGCAGCACCACCGCATTGCCCAGCACGGTGAGCACCAGCAGCACGCCCAGCACCGCCACCTCCACCTGCGGGGCAAGCACAGATCGTCAAATAAACAGACACTAAATAGAACTAAATAGTAACAATATTCCTAAAATTATGAGTGATTGAAGTCCCTCTCGTCTCCACAAAAAGAGTCACACACACAAACAAAAAACCTATTCTCTGGAACGGTGCAAAGATTACCTGCTAGAGAAGCGTAATTAATAAAGAAAAATCGGTGAAGGCCTGACGTGACAGTCAATCAGGAAAGGGGCCTGAAATACATGTCGCACTCCGAGGGTCAGGAGCCATTAGGACGAGATTATAAAAGACTTAAACTATTTTTATTTCTTAATCTTTTCTATGAGAGGGTGAGCCTGCCTCTGCCGACCGACTACATTTGCTCAACTCAGACACTGGTGTAAATTTACAATTGTGGAGTGAAGACAATTAAATTACCACGTTTTCAAAGTATTTTTTGAAAAACAAATTTCTTATAGACGCAATGCTGACATTTCCAGGATTTTTAGCACAACATTCTCAACACTTTCAATCGTGCACTTTCGTTTTAATTTTGTTTCCACAGTGAAGGATCGCTCACGCAGCTGCCCTTCCACGAGGGTGAACAATTAGGAAGTGATGGATGGATCCACTACGTCTCTCAGATAGAGATGGAAAGAGTGGCTTCGGGTCAGTGGGGCGGGCGGAGCCCGGGCGCTCGGGACGGGGTAGGAATCGAATTAATACCCGTTCTTTTGGGCCGGAAAAAGAAACCGATCCGACTATGGGTTACGGTTTTTGCTGGCCTCGCTTTACAATGTGGGAACTTTCTACCTGCATCTTCTCCCCCCCCCCACCTCTCTCTCTCTCTCTCTCTCTCTCTCTCTCTCTCTCTCTCTCTCTCTCTTCTGGCTGTCGATTCCCCCACCCCGCTTTCTCTCTAGACGCTTTGATCATTAGGAGGAACTCGATACGAGCGCGCACAGCAAGAAAGGGGGCTGGGGGGTCTCTCTCGTTTTTTCCCGGCAGAATCGAACTGACCCACCTCACCTCTATATTACGCTATGTTATGGCAATCGCCAGGAAGGTCCTCAACGCCTCGCGAAGCGAGGCCCTTTTACCTTTCCGGGCGGGCGAGAAGGGTGAAATACAGGGGTTGTTCTCTAGATTCTCGCACGCTTTTCTTTTCCGGTGTCCACGAGTGATCGCACTGTGTCACAGGAGCATGACGGTATGCATACAATTCTACTGTGTAAAATGTCGTCGGAGATTTACAATCTATTTTGTAATTTACAATTTACAAAAAATGTAGATCACGACAGCCATTTCTCGCTCGTCAATAAATTCCAGGTCGCCCCGTGTAATGCTTGTAATTCTTCAGTGTCAAATTGTAATTTAAAAAAGAAGGCGGACAGTAGACCGGCCCCTCGCTACACTCGGCTCGAGGTCCATTGAAGACAGTCTACCCACCCTCCCTTACACCATCTTTCCTAAACGAGCGTCTAGCCGACCAGAAGCCTACCCGATATATGGCTCTGAAACGAATGACGAATGCGTTACAGCGACATCACAAGAATTTGGCACGATTCTAGTGGCCTTTCGACGCAACGTATGAGGAAAAGTGAGCAGCCCCGCCCCCCCCCC